TTCTTGTTCGTGTTTTTCCTATCTCATCTTAATTCGCTGTGTTTGGTGTGTTTTTGGTGGATTGATTAGTGCGCGATCATCGATTTAGAAAGAGGTTCCAGTGTTGGATCCACCTGTGCACTAGGCACCGATCGCGCACGTATAACTAATCGACCGCGCTAGTCACGTGCGAGTAAGAGGTGAGACACAGGGAGGAAGGTCTTTGCACACAGTTTGTATGGGACACGTTTCCCTAGTTACACAAGATATAACCAATTGAACCAGTTCGAATAACCTCACTGCAGTGAAGAGCCTGTCCACACTTACCCTTATTATATACTATATTCTTATATTAGCTATAGAGTTATATCGATATATACCGCTTAATAATATAGCTATACCTATAATAATTATAGTATTTCTATAGTTAGACTAACTTATTATAGGGTTTATACTAAAAGATTTATACTTTAAGGACTAAGCTTAATTTATAGAGCTTATTAGCCTCTTTTAAGGTACTAACCTTAATAAGTATAGTTATTCCTATTAATATCTTAGATTAAGAGTATAGCGCCTAGGCTTAAAGGACCTTAACTTTATTTACCTCTATAATCTTATAAAGTAATCGCTCCTTATTTACTATTACTACCTTTAAAGGGATATTCTTAGCGACTACTATATATATATAATAGGTAATTATAGCCTTTAGACTAAATACGGCCTTAACCTAGCCTTAGTCCCTTTAGTAGGCTCTTACTAAAGTATTAAATATAACTATAATATTTCCGCTTTAAAGGCGCCTCGCTATTATAGCGCTTATAGCTTTTAAGGCTATATTTACCGCCTTTACTATATCCTTTAGTTCGCGGCTTAGGATTTTAAGCGATGCCTTAGTAAGGACTATAATAATCTTATATTTATAATATAGTAAGACCTATTTTACTATAGCTTTATATTAAGTCGGTCCCTTAGTCTTAGCTATAACTATAGCCTAAGTTCGCTTTAGGCCCCCTAGGCCTAAAGCGATTCCTAGGCGGAGTTCTTCCTTAACTACCTCCTTAATTACTTCCTAGATTATCGTCTTAAAGCTCTCGTCTATATAGAGCACCGCTAACGACGCGCTACCGGCGCGGCTCTTTGCCCTAGAGAGCCGTTTAACTACTGCCTATACCCTACTAAACTATACGCTTAGGATAAAGCCCGCGAGTTTATCGTATACTACTTTTTCTATAGGGTCGCTCGGCGCCTAGGTAGGTATTATATCGTAACTTTAGGTTTATTAACTCGCCCTATCGGGGTATATAAATTTAGGTAGCGTCTCTTCGCGCTACGCGCTTTAGTTAAGCCTAGTATATCGAGGGCCGCTACTATATCTACCTACCTTTTAGCCTTAGTATAGTATTATTATTAAAGGTAATTAATACTACTAAATTAATTCCTAGTATTAGTTAGTATTTTAGTCGCGATATATACCTACTATAGGTATATATTAGTTTTATAAGAAGTTTTTTTTAGGCTATACTTATTAAAAGCTTAATTACCTAGCGGTCTATATTATAGAATTTAGCTTTTAAATAACGTCTTTCTTTTATATAAATAGTTTCTTATATATACTTTAAATAAAAAGCACTTTAGTTACTTAATTTATAGACCCCTTTTTATACTTAAACTTAAGATATTTAAGACTGCTTAATATTACTTTTAAGAGAGCTATAATTAAGGAATAATTTTAGCTGTTAATATTTACTATAATATCCTTTAAGTTATTATTATAGATTTACCTTAGAGTTATAGCCTAGTATAAATAAGGGCTTAACTTATAAATTTCGCTAGGCTTTATTATTAAAGTAGAAATAGCTAGTTTAGTTAAAAGCTAGCGATAATAGCGCGATATAATATAGGTTTCTAGAATACTAAGCCTATAAAATTACTTTAAAGGCAGAGTATATATATATAAGTAGATATCGAAGTTTTAAATAAGGATCCTTAATTTATTATTTAGTTCTTTATAAGGGCGTAGATATTTTAGTAGCCCGCTTAACTAACGAATTAAGTATAAATAGTTAGCTATAATAATACGTATAATAATATATAATAGATCCGAATATCTTCCCGCTTAATATAGATACTTAATATCGGAGCTTATAAAAAGGAGGTCTTTAATTTTATCGGTCTTTATATCCTAGGCGATATCTCGAAATATTTTATTTTAAGTTAACTTAAATTTAAATATACTTCGCTAGACCCTTTTATAGTATATCCTACTCTACTACTTTTAAGAAAGTATAAAACCCTTAGATTAATAGGCGTAGGTAGATAAGAGAGGGTCGAGTTAGTCTATAATATATACTTAAATCTTAAGGGGGGAGCTATAGTCTAGCGCTTAAGGATACTCTATATTCTAGAAGTTCTTTTAATATAACTACTTAAGGAGTATAAGCTATCTTAGGGACTAAGGATATATAAAGGGGAAATAGAATTTAATATATATTATAATAAAAACGGGAAAGGCAGCTAATAGATTAAGCTAGGGAGCTAGAATAATAGCTTTATAAAGTGATTTTAACTAGTTATATATAAAGCAGACCTATAAGCCTCTCTTTGCTCCTTGCTAGGCTTATAGTTTATTTTAGTGATACTTAGCAGAGAAAACTAAAAACCGATAGGCGCGATACCCACGCTATAGGTGTCCTACGATAAGAGCCAATCCTTCGGCAAAGTCGACACTATATTAATTTAGTTAGTTCAGGCTGCTCAAAAGTTCGCTAGCCTTTCGGTCCCGCCAAGTCACGAGAAGCCCGGTAGGCGAGCCTTCTTAAGGTTTAGAGCAAGCCATAGCCTAGCATAAAGCCTGGCTGCTTAGGACTGGGCAGCCCCCTAGACAGCTATCTATAGCATTAGGCAAGGGTAGACACCGGCTAACTGGACCCAGCTTCAAGGCCACTCGTAGATATGAAGATGATGGTTCATTGTCTCGTTCTTCGTCGTGAGTTTCTATGCAGGCATCGTTTGAAATCCAGATCTGTCTACGCGAAAGATTTCGGTTGGGTAATTGAACCCTTGTTCAAAGCTTTTCGCATTCAGGATACGTAGTAACAGTAAATTATTACAAATAAGATACACAAGGAACTCGAGCTGAGTTGACATGAAGCCTCGTGCGCTTGTCAGCTGTTTTAGCATGACTCAGGCACGTAACGATTGGCTGGATGCTGCCCCGGGGACAGGTGAGTCCCAAACAGCCCTGGCGGCTGGTTTCATGGCACAGCACAACGCGAAAGACGATGCCTCGCAAAGCACTGTATCGGCCTGCCACAGAGAAGTAAGCTCCCCGCAACCTCCGGTCTCCCTCCGAGAGTCTCCCAGGCGCTGTCCTGCTCCGAGCGCCCCAACCGCTGCCCGAGCCTTCGCAGTGCCATGGCACTGCACTACCTAACGCATCGCGATCCTGCGGTTGTCGTCTCAGAGGCAGGATGCAACGGCCCACGGCAACTCCGCACCCGTCACCGGTGTTGCCGCCACAAGCGCGGCGGTGTCGGCGGAGGAGGGCCGACAAGGAGCCATACGGAACCGGATTTACCGTACACAACGCTACACAAACCCCAAGGAGATGCGGCCACACTGGCAGCTGAAAACCAGGCATCTCCGTTGTCTGTAGGCAACGACGGCCAGGATGGCGAGAGCGGGGTCACAAGGCGGCAGTCATCACGCAATAAATACATTCTGGAATGGAAATCCTATCTATCCGTCCGCCAACTTCCGGCCTTTCCTCCTCTTTGCTACCCCACTGAATGAGGTATCTGGAGTGACCGCTTGCTGCTCGGCGATAACGTCAGCCACCTAGCTTACAGCATACCCCCCTTCCAGCACCCTTTTCCCACCAAAAGTCGGGTTTTTTATAAATCTATAACTAATTTATTAAAATAGGTAGAAAGACTAAAACTTTATAGCTAAAGAGCTAAGCTATAATAGATTTATAAAGTACTATAAGTTTTTCTTTTTCTAATAATAAATAAGTTATATTACTTTTAGTTTTCCTATAGTAAAATAAAATACTAAATAAATAGTTTAAAAAAATTATATAGTACTATTTATCTTTATATAGCTTTTAGTACTTAAAAGTACTTTCTATTTACTATTTTATCTATTAAATAAAAAGATAATAGGATATTCTTAAAATACCTCTTTTTTTAATAAGGAGAAAAGTTTATTGCTTAATAACTTAAAAGAAAAAGCTAGTTATAAGTCTTTAACTACTTTATTAGTAGTATATCCTATAAAAAAGCTTATTTACTACTTAGCCTACTTTATTAGAATTGTTTTTAATATTAATTTAATACTTTTTAAAGTATTAAGGCTTACTAGGTAAAGTAGTATAAAGTACTAACAAAATACTTAAGTTAGCTTTAAGCTTTTATATAAGTATAATTAGATATAATATATATAAAAAGTAAATTCTAATACTAACTTAAGCTATTTTACTAATAGTATTCTAGGAGCTACTAGGCATAACTATTTTTCTTATATTTATTATTTAGTGTTTTAAAGCTTGCGTTTTGGTGAGAAAGGGTGCTGGAAGGGGGGTATGCTGTAAGCTAGGTGGCTGACGTTACTCGACTGACTGAAATCGTAGCGCGCCGATCAGCAACTAGTGCACCATCTGCCGATGTCCTGCCGTTGAAGTCAACGTTATGTGCAATGCAATCGATTTGCATGTCTCTCAGCTACTTGTATGATTGGCGGTTTAGATGGCGGTGGGGTTCTAGTCTTGGCGCCAACGACTTCCCTGATCCAGAGTACATTGGAAGACCTGTAACCCTCCTCGTCATACCCCTGTGCACTATAGAGCAAGTGTTTGCATTGACTTGTTATCTTGTTGGAAGAGTGCTTGCCCCTCCTGTAGTCTTGTGGAACACCCCCAAACCTAGGCGTCCTGCCTTGCGACTCATCTTAACCAGTCCAGACCAGTGCGGGCCGCCGTAACACCAAGTCACGGAACACGACAAAAGTGGCCACAACACCTTTCAAATACCCCTTTCGACCCAAGACTGAATGATACCTCTATTGCTTTCTTCGTAAACCTTCATCTCGACCTCGTCCCCAGTTATCGAGGTGTTAGGTTGCACAAACTTCCATCTTGGTTTCGGCTTCGAGCACACAATCTGTCGCCACTGCTCGTACTCGCCCTCGACCGCACAGAGGGGCTCGTAGAACGCTTTGCAGGAGGCAGCGTCGGCCGTGCAGCGCCAGATGTGCAGGCGGCAGAGATAATGGCCCAAGGCGGGTTTGCCGTGCGAGATGAATTTGCTGCGGTCGATGTGGACGGTGAGGCTCGACTCGGCAGGGTCGTGGGCAATGCGGATGACGCCGCCGCCGTCTTGGAGGAGATGCTTGAGAATGGAGAAGTGGGCCTGGGTTGGGGTTAGACTTGCGACGAATTGTAGGGGGAGCTGTCCCGAGGACAAAAGGTGCATACCTGGTGGTGGACTTGGCCCCAAGCCTGACTTTGGAAATTATAATGTTCGAGAGCTTGAAGACCATCGACGCCGATGTTCAGATAGGTGGTATAGAGGACTAGATGCAACGGTCAGCATGTGCATCGGCATTTTGCGCGATATGACGCACGGTCGTCAGCGGTGATTTCACTGTCATCAGTGTAACCAAATATCTCCAGCAACTTTTTGTCGTCCATGAGGTATTCCGAGACCAAGATGGCACGACACTCCTCTACCGTTCCCGCCAGCTTGCCAAAGACGCTTCCCCACGTCTGGCCAAGCCGATAGTGTGAGGTCACGGGTTCCCCGGTGATGGGACTGATCGGTGGGTTCTGCTTGTCGAAGTTGTACACTCCTGGTGCGATTTCACCGAGGAGTTTACTGGTTCCGTGACCGAGGAGCTCGTGGATGGCGGTAGTGATGTACCTAACTATGTGCGTGCTGCTCTTGAAGCGCTTCAACTCGGATGGAAGGACCCAATAGCACGGTAGCTTGGGGTTGTTGTTGGCGCTTAGACGATTCGCAAGCACGATGTTTTTGAAGCCGCAGGTTTCTCGAATGTATTCGTACTAATTAGTCATTAGTTTCTTTCCACACGAGCGGTCTATAAACTTACGTTGGGAAGATTGGCAGCTTCGAAGACGATGCTACCGCATACAGCGAGCGCTAAAAGTGTTAGCATGCCTTATACTTCGGTGCGGAGGCTGGGGAGCTAACCGTGGACGCTAGTGAAGTCAGGAGCCTCGAATAGACTCTTCTCAAACGGCCCTTTACCGTCATTCACGCCCTCCACCGCCCACGGGAGGTGTCGAATGAAGGCGGTTGAACTCTCAACGAGGCGCTTCAGTCGAGACACCTCGTCTGAATCAGCGATTCCTATCATAGCCTCCCACTCGGACCTAATTCCAGCCGGATCGCGGTAAGGCTCGATAAAGCCAATCAAGTGTTCAACTCTTGCAGATACATCCGAGACCCACACCTTTTGCGACTCTTGGAAAGTTTCCAAGCTACCGGTACGGAAGCATTCGACGTATTTGGTCAAGAACTGGACTTGCCTGCGGTTGCTTGCGTACTCCTTTGCTTTCTCCAGAGCCAAACAGACCTTCGACAGTTCCTCGGTGTGGTCGCCTTTAATGAGGGAGATGCCGTCCGCGAGCTCCTGTGGAGTGTCGTTAGAAGCAGCAGTCTCGGCAGAAGCCTGTAGCAGCTGGTAGACGGGCTTGCCATCCTCGACCAGCTTCCGAATTCGAGTATTCTCTGGTCCTATCGAATGTCGTCCCATGGCCTCAGATACCTTGGCGACCTCTAGTTGGGAAATAGGCTCGGTGCCAGGATAGTATGCCGACTGCGCGTTCTTGCTAGGATATCCAAGACTGAATGGTGGGACTGCGAACAACGGGCCGACAATTTTGTCCAGTCCGTCTTTGGCCTTCGGGGAGATGGACGAAATTTTGCGTAGAGCTTCGATGGACAAATCGGGAACGAACTTTTGATCGCCCTCGCCCTGTTTACAATCAGCGCTGACGACACAAATTCACGGCGTCAAACTTGCGTAAAAGTTGCCCAGGTTGCAGAGAAACGTGCCAGCGTACTCCAGAAAGGCTTCGAGCTCTTCAGGGAGAATGCCGCATTGCGTCACCAAGCTATCCCAATCTCCACTGCAAGCATGGTGGAGGTCCATGATGAAGTCGAAGATGGCCGGGCTTTCCAGAGACACCTGCGACATAATGATTCTACTTCCATGCCAGGCCGCTCGCGCCATGTGGTGTGCGTAGCGCTTCTCGCGCGGTTCGAGAGCATCGAAAACCGGCTTGACGACGAGCTGGTGAACCACGGCGCCGGTAGGGGGCGCATGGGAGCTTTCGGTGCGAGACATGTTGCTTGCGCGTGTGTGGATGACTGTGAATCGGAGCTATTGCAGTACAGGAGTGGCAGGTTTGAGATGGAAGAGGGTCGAAAACCCACCCCCCTCAGCCTAAGACGGTAATGAGCTTGCAGAATGAGCCGCCGTCGTGGGAGCGGAAGTGGGGGGGTTGAGTGACGTACCTCCGCCCGCCGCCTATGGAAAAAAGACGTGCCGCACAACGGACACCCAACATCTGCGCGACCGGGCATCAGCCGAGTCCCCCACCCCAGGGCACTGCCACAAATGCCATTGTCCCACCCCACCCCTTCTGCAGCCCGAGTCACACCGGCAAGCCGCTGGCGCTTCCATGACGCCCAGCGCAGGCCGCGAGCCGCTCGAGGCTCGTGAAACGACAAGACCACACTGCCTTTGCCATTTGGCTTTTCCGCAGCCATACGGACGCCTGACTGCGCGACATGCATGAGGAGCGCATTTGGATAGTCCTAAACCATAGCCGACATAACACATCTGCGCAGCTCAGGCAGCGGGCGGCTTGGTTTCCAAGGCCTCTGAGAGGAGTGGATTTCTATGAAAAGGATTAGGATAGAGTGTGTAGACCGATCTGTGTTTCAATTTTGCAGTACTAGGTACCTCCTACCAGTAGGCTCAGACAAATTTGTGCATACATACCACTACCCATCATGGTCGCTGTGCGGTTCGTTAGCGCTCAACGAAACGCAACGCACCTCACCTCGACACTCTCCCGCAACTGGCCGCCCGCCTCTGGATTGAAGACCGAACAGTGGAAGCCCTCTTCAGAAAATACGGATCAGCGCACTTTCATCTCCTCAGCTCCAATCTGAACCCCCAGAAAGGGGACACTGAACCTACGAGCACGTTTTCCCAGAGAATCAGCATTTCGGAAGACGATCAAGTCGTCCTCCGACTGGTCCTTCATGATATACCATTTGTGTTTCTCGTTGAAATGAAGAATTGCATTCTCGTCCACCCGATCTCGTCTGATGGCATCGTTGACGCGAACGTCGGCTGAAGGGTCGATGGTTGTAAAGTCGCACATTGCCAAGGGCCAGTCGTTGTTTGGGCCTCGAAGGGGTCTCCAGACGCCGTTCACAGGCCGGGCAGTTAGTGCCTACCTAGGTAGCCAGTCCTTCCAAGCAAATACTAACGAGACTGTCGGAGGGCGGCATACATACTTCAAAATGTCAAAATCCTTGCCCTCCCAATATCTCTCCTGGTTTGGGAATGCGCGCTTCAGGTTCAGATGCGCGCCCCTTGGGGTGCAGTCGCTATGTGGTCGGGGCGCCGGCTGCTCGACGTTGGTATAGATCCTGATGTTGGCAGGAAAGTCGGGGTCTCTCTTTCGAACCTAAACAAATCCATCCCGTCAGCCGGCCGTAACACAGGGCTGCATGTAAGCGCTGGCAAGACTCAGGTAGGTGGGTATCTCAGTAGATACCTAGGTAGGGAGGCAGGAACGTACCGTACAATCGTAACACTCGATCCTCGAATACTGCGGGAACCTCTCGTGCAACACGGCCTCAATCTCGTACCAATAATCCTTCTGCGCCTCCCTCTTCCTGGTGAACGCATCCTCCGCCTTCAAGTTTGTTCTGGCGCGGACGAAGCAGAACCCGTGCTTCTCCAGATCCCATTTGTCAGGGTCGGTGACGGGATACACAGTCACAGTTCTTTCGTCGTTTTTGTGGTTCGAGGCGCGCGCCCAGGCATGTGGTCAACAGGCACGTGGGTATCAAATGGCTTCTCGATGTCAAAAATAGGGTCCTGGGCGAGATAGGAGATTGAGGTCTCCATATTGGGGAGAGCTGGCGTGGGAGGTAAAGGAATGTCTGTAAGGTGTAGCCGACGCCGAGAGGCCTCTTAAGTACGCGGGAAGGCTTCAGACCGAGAAGCCAAAGAGCTGCAGCACCCTCTCTTGGCTCGGACCCGCTCGCTATGCTTGTCGTTTTATTCGCGACCCGAGGATGGAGGGTGGAATGGTGTGGGGGGGCCCCGCTTGGTTTCCTAGAATGGTGTTCGCCGTAGCGCCACAAATACACAATAGCCTAGAGTAAAGCTATTTATACAACGCCCTTTTAATAGTAGGATCTAATACTAGTCTTAAAGAGGCTAGGTTTATTAGCGTTAAAGATATCTTAGTAGCCCCCTTATCCTCTTTCTTAATATCTTCTATCTTTAAGTTAAAACTTAAATAGTATTCTATTAGTTTTATAACTTCGATAATACTTTAAGAGGTAATTACCTAGAATTACTTATAAATTACCTACCTTAAGTTAAGGTATAAAGATAAACGAATTACTAAAGTATTTATCGATATCTTTAGTACTAGTACTAAAAGTATAATATATATTTATATACTATAAAATAGATTATATATTATTAAACTAAGCGAAGCTAGTTAAATTAAGCGTTATTATATCCTTTTAGTCTTAAGGATATTAGCTATAATTTAACATTTTTAGTATAATTTTTATTTTATAGTATATTATTTAACTCTAAGAAGCTCTTTATATTAGATTATAAAGATTAGCCTTTACCGCGAGCTTTTACTAACGTAATATAACGACGTCCTTTAAGCCTAGGATCTAAGAGTTTTTTCTTTTCTTATCTTTATAGTATAGGAATGTATAGTTTAAACTTTAAAGGAGAGGCTATAATATATAGAAACTAGATATATATATATTTTATACTTAAGGGTTAAGAAAATAAAAGAGAAATTAAGAAGGATAAGAAGTACCCCCCCTTTTATTAAGAGTTAGTTTTCTATCTCTTAGGGTACTAGCTAGATATCTAGTAATAAGGGGTTATAAACCGATATTAAAGTTATTAGACTATTCTATAAAAAGATCTATAGCTAAGAGGACGCGGTAGGATTTAGACTAGATTTATACTAGCTATCTTAGTCGGCCTCCCCTTCCTGCTCCTATCTTTAGATAGTATTAATTTTAGCCTAGATAATAGTTAGCTCTCTTACTATAATAAGAGACTAAACCTACCTCCCTTTCCCGCTTAGCTCTAGCTATAATATATAACTAATAACGGAGTCTATAGTATAGTATTTATTTAGACTAGTAGGGTAAGTAAAATAAGAGAAATTTTAGCTAACCGACTTAGCTAAGCCGCTTAAAAGTACTAGGTTGCTTAGATAGACTGCCCCTTACTTACTTATTTATTAGTATTTAACTTACTAAGCTTACTATTATTTAACTATTAAGCTAATAGAAATATATTTATATTATTATTATTAAAACAATTAGCTTAAGTATATAAGCTAATAATAATACCCTTTTTATTTCCTATTATAAGTATTAAATATAAGCTTAAACGAGAGACTAGTTTATAAGGTAGAATCTATAGGCGCCGCTACTTATATCTTATAAAAACACTTAAATTATATAAATACTAACTTATAAGGCGTAAATATAGATGTTACTAAGGCAAATTAAGACTATTATATACTATAAGCTTACTTATAAAAGCCTTAATTAAGTTATACTTATATTAAAATTAATAGTACTATCTTAACCTCCCTTATATTAGGTTAGCGGCGGAAGCATTATCTAGGGCCTAGTAAAGCTTAGTATTAATAAAGTAAGCTATATTAAATAAAATAAGGTAATTCCTACCGCGGAAAACTACTAGCTTACTAATAGCGGGTATATAATATAAAGTACGTTTCTCTTTACCCCCTTAGTTTCCTGTATCTAAGGGTCTAAATATAATTAGCTTAGTATTACGACCATAGCTACTAGGCCGCTAACGGTCGACCGTATTAAGCACGTAACACGGTCTAACGGATAAATAGTCGGCATAACTATCTAATAGGTATAGGATCGAGGGGATTATAGAGATCTAAGTAATCTAAGTTTAACGAGATTACTACGCTCTATACGATCTAACGTTAGGGATTATAGCTAGGCCTATAATCTAAGGATAGTCTCTATAGGTATATATAGCTACCTACTTTTACTCCTTTAAATAGATAGCTCTCTAGCTTTTAATATAGATCTTTATTATAATTCTATCTTTAATTCTAATTACTTAGTTATAGTCTATAGTCTACGACCTCTAACTTATTACTAACGTAATATACTTATTATTACTTAGCCTACGCCTTATTATATCTACTAATATAAACCCCTTAATAGGTTTATCCTTTAGGAATAATACTAGTCGTTATATATTAAAAGCTCTTATTTAGTATAATACTATATTACTCTAAGTAATATTATAACTATTAATATACTTATATAGTAAACTAGATTAACTAACTCTAGAGCTACTATATTACCTTAGGATATAATACGTAAGATTATTACCTTTTAATAAGAGGTATAGTTACTTAGGAATAGAGGAGGTAATAGATAAGTTAGGGACTTTAAAGAAGTAGTTAAACTAAAGTAGCTAGGACTATTTAACGGTACTTATAGTACTCTTTAAGACTTTCTTACTTAATTTAAGGCCTACTACTAGTTCTACTTAATAAAACTTTTAAACCTAGTCGAAAAGGTACTTTATATAGGAAATTATTTATCTAGAATAGTACTTACTTAGTTTAGACCTATTATTAGGGACTATCTCGATAATTAACTAATATAATAAAATAGCGAAATAGATAAAGTCTTTACTAGTTTCTAAGGATTTAAAGAAGCTATTACTAAGGTATTTAAAATAACTAATAAAGAATAAGAAGCTAAATAGAAACTTTAAGAACTCTAATAAAGGACCTTAGTATCGGACTATACTATTAAATTCTATAAAGTTACCTTAAAACTAAAATAAGATAACGAACCCCTTATATTATAATTCTACGATAGACTTAAGGAAGAAGTTAAGGACGAACTCTATAAGGAAGATCGACCTAACGGCCTTTTAAACTATATCGCTATAGTAGTACGAATCGACGATAGATAGTATACGCAACGCTAAGAAAAGAAATAAGGAAGAGGAAACTAAAACCTTTCTTATAAGAATAACTTTAACTAACGCGCTAACTATAAAAAGAAGCGTAAAACTCCTATTACCTACGCCTATATAACTAACCTAGGTAAGATAGATCTAGATATAATATAGAAAAGTAAAGGAAAATATTTTAACTATAGGAAACTTAGATATTACTTTAAAGAATATAGATAACCTTATAAAGAGAAGGACCTACTAAGCACTAGCCTTAAAAGGTAAGAAATACTTAAACGCTACTATTAAATAGGAACTAAAGTATAAACTCCTTAGTTAGACTATATACTATAACGATAAATATATAGTATACTTAAGCGATAAGAATAGTACTAGATAGTTTCTAAAGCTATTAAAAAAAGCCCTTATAATAATATAATAAAGGGATCTTAAAATATAGAGATAAGTTAAATTTATAGAACTAGAATACCTATATCCTAAAGGAGTCTCTTAAAACTAGATTAAGAAGAACGGTAAACGATTTTAAGAAGATATATAAAATAAAAATTAATAATAATAATAGGTAGTCTATAAATAATATAATAAAAAAGATATAGATATAGCCCTTATACTTATAAAACTTAGATAATAACCTAAAGAGGAATAATAAAGTATTAATAATATAAGCTCTAAAAAATAAGAAATACTTAGAGAAACGAAAGATAAGAACGAACTTATACTACTACCCTCGCTATTAAGGGAAAATACTATAATTAAAGAATACGCTCTATACTTTAAAGAATTTAAAGAAATACTTAAAATTAAAACTTAATAAATACCTTAAATTCTTATAGAAAACTAATAAGCTATATTAATTTAATATTAACCGGTATTATATAGAAGAAACTATATAATAGCTATTACTATAGTTAATACCTTTATAGCTTTATAATAAAAATAGTACCTATAAAAAGAATTTAAAAATAATTTATAAATACTACTTACTTATAAGTACTATAAGTATATTTTATAGATATTATACGTTTACTTAGATTATATAATATACTTTTAGATAAAAGTATAATATAATGCCTTCTTAGTAAGGTTTAAAGGATAAGTACTTTTAAAACCTTACCTAAGTATAGAACTAAACTACTAGAAAATCGATTAACGCTACTTAAATAACTAAGTTATATTATTAAAAGCTAATTATAGTATATTACTTAAATACCGCGATAATTACGGTTTATTAATAAGATGTCTTTTAAAGATATATAAAATCTATAAATACGCTAAGATAAAGGAATAGTATAACGCTACTTACTTTAAGGTATCCGAACCCTTAATCTTTTAAAGACTTATATAATAAGTTTAATATAATAAGGAAGATTATAACGAATATATATACCTAAACTATAAAGTTTATAAATACGAAAAAGTATAAGGATAGTATAAACGATATAACGGTATATTAAAAGATTATTAGTAATATATATAAAGGCTATAAGCTATATTTAACTAAGGAAAAATTAATATAGAAATACTATATAAAAAATAAAAAGACGCTAAATAAAAACTTAACCTTTAATATAAAAACGAATAAAATTATAAAGTATAGTATATAATTAACTACGAAGTAGTATAATATAAACGATATAGTATTAAGAAATAAGAAATCTTCGATTAGCTATAAGAAATTACTTTCTTAAGCCTTAATATAATACTATATAACGAAAATATAAAGAAATAATATTAAAAATAAATTAAAGAAGAATACTTAAATAAAATAAATAAAGACTAAGTAAAAAATAAGGTATACTATCTATAAAAGGGCTATAGACTAGCACGATATAATAAGATCTAAGGACCTTATATATAGTAACGGTAAGCTATAGCGA